TGCAGGGGGAGAAGTTTCCCTCGACTCTCTTAGGGTCCCTGGCTGGTCTGATAATTAAGCTGGCAAAGACAGATTAACAGGAGAAAAGCACACAATTTTATTTAACATAATTTTTACATGACATGTGAACCTTCACAAGGAAATGAAAACCTGAAGAAACAGTTAAACCTGTGTTTTTTATGCTACATTTGATGAAGAGCAAACAGTCGTGGAGAAATGTGCTAAGACCATGGTAAGTGTAGTAAACTGGGGAAACCGAGCCAGGACTGTCGTCTGGGATTTTCTTGGTGTCTCTGGGTGTAGGGAGGGCACCTGTCACACGAGGGTTTCACGACCTGCTCCAGGGAAGAAAGGAGGGGGAGGCTCAGACCTCCTGCTCCTGCCATTTTCTCAGACTCCTTCAGCTTAAGATATTCAATGTGTCATGGTGTATGGAAGCCAAAGGCCTCGTACTTTGACACCATATACACACACAGTGCTGTTCTGAACCCTCATACACGGCACGACTGGAATTTGAATCCCAGCTCAGGGTCCAGGTTATCCAACTGTACTCTTCCATCTCCATTTTACATGGTGTCTAACAGCCATTATATAAGTTGAAGCTAAACGTGAAGCTGATAATGTTTTATTAAAACAAAACAAAACACAAGATGGCTTCTTTTGGCTGCTAACCCATCTTAAATGAGGCAAAGAGAAAATAAATCATAAAACAGCTTCTTATCACTTATGTTTTGGAACACGAGCCCGGCTACATGGAGAATTTTCACCAGTCATCTGTTTAAGGATTTAAGACTAAACTCAAATAGTTTCTTGGCAAAACATAGTCTCTTACTTGAAAGAATCTTGAGAAAGCATTCTTTAAAGCTTTCTTAAGTTTCTTAAATATCTAATGGTGTCTCAAGTTACATTTTCGTAACTTGCAATATTAATAAATTAAAATATGGATTCAATTTTCCTTTAAATATAATTTTAATCAAGAAAAGAATACACAGCTAAATTCATTTTGACATTTTTTTTAAGACTTAAGCACTTAAAAACTGCCTTAAGCTATTCCTTGATGAGCTCAAGATATGTTTAGATTCCCACATCATTACTAGCACAGGACAACTTTTAAACACAATTTTGTCCTTTCATTGAAAATGTCAAGGTGAGATTAATTTACTTGTTTTCTTGTCTGCTTCTTGAAGATCCAGGGGAAAACTTTCATCATCAGCCAGCGTAAAAATAAAGAACAAGAAAACACTTAAAGGACTGTTAGGATTTCAGGGCTCGAGGCCCCATTGTGGCCTGTGTTCCAGCATTCTTGCCTCTAAGTTTTTCCAGTTGCCCGCTAGGATTAGGTTAACTCTAAGAAATTTCACATCGCTAAGTAAAGTACACAAAACCCACGCCAGCTGATGATAATCGCCACTGCCATCTTGCCCTAAAAGAGCCCGTGTCTTCCTGAAATCTTGGTGAACAAAAGAAGTCGTTTAGGTGACAACGCACATGACCCAGCAAGAGTACCTTAAGAAGTTCATAGTATCTTATCTGTCAACAGTGTCTAAAATCCCTGATGTGAAAGCTGTAAATCATTAAGTCTCCAAAAATTACAAACACTCGGCTGTGTCTGCCAGAGATGCCATCATGGAAAATTCTGAGAAGCCTTCAAGGGCTTTCTCCCTAGATAAATTGTAAATGCAGAAAGGGGGAAGGGCTCAGTGGAGGGGGAGGATGTTAGATGAATGCAGAAAAGAATTTGGCCAATAAATGAGATTCACTTGCTTTCCATGTATCATCTTGTTTAAAAAGCTTTCTTTTTTCATTAAGTGAAGCATATAGAAAGGGTGTGCATTCATAGTGTCCAGGCTGAGGACTTTATACGAAGAACACAGCTGTGTAATCAGCATTCAGAAAGAAGAAAACCGGACTGTCACCAGCTCCCCAGAAGACCCACTGACACCCCCTTCCCAAGGGGCACGCCCTCCCGGACGGACGGGTCGGCCTGTTTCTGGGTTTTACGTGGAAGGAAGCGCACAGAGTGCTCCCGTGTAGTGTCCCGCCTTCACCCGCCCTCATGTTTGAGAGTCAGGGTGCCGTTGCCCGTGTGGGCCGATCCTTCCTGCCGCTGTAACGCACCCCCTGGGCGACCACAGCCCAGATTATTCAGTCTGGTTCTGATGGGCATGTGGGCCATATATTGTGAACCAAAGGTTACTGTCTGGCTTCAGAAAGTTCTAGAAAAAACAATGATGTATTTGAGAGAGAAAAGTCAGGGGACTTTTATGGCGACATAGAGGAAGTAAATGGAGGGACTGCTTCACTGGCTTAGAACTAGCTTGGCTCTGCTCTGCTCCCCACCCCAAACCCCAGACTCAGGAAAACTTGTGAGCCGTGCTCGTGAGAAAGCAGCCGTTGCAAGGCGGGTGAGATCTGGAGTCCCAGAAAACGAGGGGGCACTTTGGGTCTGCGGGGGTAAACACAGGAAGTTGCACGTGTGTGTAAACTTCGGAGAAGCCCTCTGGACTCTGGCAAACCCTCTGTAAATATCTCCGAGCAGCTGGGACACCTCACTGAAGGTTACTGTGACTCCAGTCTTCAGCATCGCGACAAGGGTGGATGTCCAGTCACTTCTCAGCCCCCTAAACTCTCAGGAGAAAGTGAGGCCGTGAGGTGCGTATTTGATCCAATGGGCTTACTCAGGTCCTGGCAGACTGACCCCCCTATTTGCAGTGTAACTATGGCCAGTAGCTTCTCTAGCCTGTGGCTCATGTTCTTCTCCCTCCTTCAAGGACACAGCAGGCCCCCTGCTGAAGGTCTCTTTTTGGAACTCACTGTCCTGTGCTCACTATGTTTCAATAACCTGAGGCAAAGCCAGCTTGTTTCCACAAAGTTTCTGTTTCTCTGGGTGCAGTGGTTTAATATATTTCTAAATATTTAAGAGAGGAAACACTTGAAATTTCACTCTCTGATCACCAGCACATAAATTCAAAGTGCCTTTGGGATCTAAAGAAAACAACAGTGCTCATTTGAAGGAAGGAGACTGGGAAAATACCAGGAAGTGTAGTGTTTGGATTCATCAGAAAGATTTTTAAAATATTTATATTAGTATCAAGAATTATTTATGTTTCATATCTTGGCAAATCTTTGAAGAAATTATATATATATCTCTTCAAAGATCTTAAGCATTATTTCACAAAGAATATGCTACTTTTTTTTTAACATTTTTTCTTGAGTTATAGTCATTTTACAGTGTTGTGTCAAATCCCAGTGTAGAGCACAATTTTTCAGTTATACATGAACATACATATATTCATTGTCACATTTTTTTTTCGCTGTGAGCAAGAACATGCTACTGTTTATAAACACAGATGTATGAGGCAATGGTAGACATTTCTTTAAAGAATTAAGGCTCTTAATTATAATTTTTATTTTTCCTGCCTCTCTCTTTTAAATTAAAAAAAAATTTTTTTTAAGTTGGAGTATAGTTGATTTACAATGTTGTGTTAGTTTCTGGTGTACATCATAGTGATTCAGTTATATACAGATATATGTATATATTCCTTTTCATTATAGGTTATACAAGGTATTGAATATAGTTCCCTGTGCAAAGGTAGGACCTTATTGTTTATCTATTTTATACCTAGTAGTTAGTATCTGCAAATCCCAAACTCCCAAATTACCCCACCCACTTCTCCCTGAGTAACCGTAAGTTTGTTTTGTCTGTGAATCTGTTTCTGTCTTGTAAATAAGTTCATTTGTGTCATTTTTTTTAGATTCCACATATTATATCATTTGGTATTTGTCTTTCTCTGTCTGACTTACTTCACTTAGTATGATCATCTCTGGGTCCATCCATGTTACTGTAAATGACATTATTTTATTCTTTTTTATGGCTGAGTAGTATTCCATTGTGTATATATACAAGTTCTTTGTCCAATCATCTGTCAATGGACATCTAGGTTGCTCCCATTTTCCTACCTCTCTTTACTGCATACGCCATTTTACTTGTTTTTTTCTAAACTTTGTGAGCACTCTGATGATATGAGATGGTGGATTCTAAAATTACATCTGGAAGACAAATTAATGACTTCTCAAGTTTAGCAAAAACCTGTGCTATGGTTTGGGAGGCTCAGTCTCCTGATAAAGTTCACAGAGAGGCTTAAAGTACAAAAATACGATGCTATTATTTTTTTCCAGTTTTATTGAGAGATAATTGACATACATCACTTTATAAGTTTAAGGCATCCAGCATGTTGGTTAAACTGTGAAATAATTACCACAATAGATTCAGCTAACATTATCTTCTCACATCAATACAATAAAAAGAAAAAAAGGAAGAAAAGAGAAAGAGGGAAAAAAGTTTCTCCCTGTGATGAGAATTCGCAGGGTTTTTTCTCTTAACACCTTACATATATGTCGTACAGCACTGCTAGTCATTGTGTTGTACATTACATCCCCAGTACTTATTTGTCTTATAACTGGAAGTTTGCACCTTGCGACCACCTTCCTTCGACTCCCCCTCCCTCACCCTCCGCCTCTGGTAACCACAAGGGTCTAATCTCTTTTTCTATAATTCTATGAGTTTGAGATCATATAGTATCAGCCTTTCTCTGTCTGACTTGTTTCACTTAGCATAATGCCCTCAAGGGCCACCCATGTTGCTGAAAATGGTACAATTTCCTCATTTTTTATGGCTAATATTCCTGTGTGTGTGTGTGTGTGTGTGTATGTGTATATGTATACACACTACCACTTCTTTATCCATTCATTCACTGATGGACACTTAGGTTGTTTGATGATATATTTAAAATAATTATAATATTAAAATAATTCTAAAAATAGAGTAATAATAATTAATGTTCTGTGTGGACCCTGAAAACATGAAAGGAATAGAGCTCTTCTTCATGCCCATGACTGTCAGTTCTTTGAGGCAACATTTTCTGTGCTTTTAACTTTTGTGCCAGTCACTGTGTACATTAATACATTTTCAAAATTAATCTTCACAATGACTCTAAAAGGTAGGTGTTACCAGCTGCCCAGATGAGGAAACTGCGCTGAGAGAGGTGAGCTCCTTGCACGGGCTGTAAGTGGCAGAGCTGGGACTGCAATCCTGCTCTGGCCTGCAGCTCGAGCCTCCACCGCTGCTCTTCCCGCCGCCCTTGTACATATAAGCTGCCCATGAAGACTGACATCGAGGCCAAATTAGCCTGGACACAGAGGCAACACCAGGCCCAGGAGGGCCAAAGGCTTACATTGCTGACTGCAAAGGTGAGGACAACCTCTGCTGAATTTATTGAAAATAATGAAATCTAGTTTCCCAACAATTTAGGGCACAATGTCAGTATTAAAATTTGGTTTTGGTTTTCTCTCTCTTTTAAAACAGATGACGTGAAGAGAATTCCATTTGGAGAGCAAGGACTGCTATGTCCACTGAATGTCTACTTTTTGCCGCTAGGTACAAGAATGGAGACGTTAACAAAACTGGTCCTATATCAAAACACACAAACATGTGACTATTGCATCTGTCACACTGGGCAAATGATTATTTTGCCTCTTAAGCTTGCGTTTACTATCAACACGTAGTCAATCTCCTTATGATTATTAACCTACAATGAACGCCTCTGTCTAAACTGCTCACGTGAGTTCTTTCCTACCATACTGAGGCATTCACGAATAACACCATAATGACTCTACAAGAATTCAAACATTTTGTTCCTTTAAAGGTTCATTTACAAGTTTTCTCAGTGAACTATAGGGTCAGTTTTCTGCTGCAAACTTTTACACATTTATGCACCTCTCTCCTCCCATCTTGCCAGGAAGAGCAGCCTCATGCTAAAATCAAGCTCAAAACTACAGATTTGTCCTTAGGTAAGATCCACACTCCACTCTCAGGAAACAATTCTAGAGGGGGAGAGTCAGAGTAGCAGAACTAACCATGTGGAGCACCTGATCCCGTTTCTTCCTTAAAAATGGAATTACTGAGCCTCTGAGAAGCTAAACGGCTTACTTGTGGTCAAAAAGAAATAACCTGCAAATCCAAGGTTTAAACCCAGGCCGTCTTTTTTGGCCCGCTATGTACAGCTCATGCCAAGTTCAATCCTATGGTCAGAGAAGCCCCTGGTGTGAGTTTTGACACATCACTATGCATCATTAATGCTTGGAAAAGGCAGATTGTTGGTGAAAGCTGGTTGAGAAAAACATGCGAGGGGACCCCCAGCTTCTGGTCTAACTGCAGTTACCTTCCCATCAGACCTCTCCTGTCCTGCCCCTTCCCGACTTTCCTGGACTAAATTACTCAGTGATGCCGACATCACTCTTGTCTGAGCAGCAGCAACTAGGGCAGCACCTACAGGGGCACATGCATCACCCAGGCGGAGATGGAGACCACCCAGGGCTATTTGGTCAGTGCATTTACAAGGATGCACAGAGGCTAGAGAGAAGTGAAAGAGAACTGGACCAAAGCACCCAAGAACGTAGAAGCTGGAGAAAAATGGTGACTTAACCGACTTGATCAAGATCACACAGCTGCTTGGTGCCCGAGTCGGGATCTGAACACCGGCCTTAAGATGAGTCTGGCAGCTTCACACAATGCTGCTCTCCCAACAGAGCCTAGTTTGGGAGGTGCTTCCAGAGGGGTAAAGGGTGGCACAGAAGTACAAAGGGCAAGGACAAAGGAGGATGCACGTAATCAGTGGAAATGTTTACAGAGAACCTGTTCCCTGTGTGTTGGACACTTGTTATGAACTAAACGGTGTCCCTCCCAAATTCATATGTTGAAGCCTTAATCCTCAATGTGACTCTGTTTGGAAATAGGGCCTTTAAGGAGGTGGCTAAAGTTAAATGAGGTCATCAGAGTGGAGACTCTAATCCAATAGGACTGGGTTCCTTACAAGAAGAAAAAGACACAAGTGAAGCCCATGTTCACAAAGGAAGGGCCACATGAGGGCACAACAAGAAGGTGGCCATCTTTAAGCCAACAAGAGAGTCGTCAGGAGAAACCAAACCTACTGGCACCTTGATCTGGGACTTCAAACCTCCAGAACTGTGAGAAAACAAATTTCTGTTGTTTAAGCCACCTAGTCTGTGGCAGTTTGTTATGGCAGCCTGAGAAACAAACACAACAAAGATGACAACAGTGAGGGGCTCCTGAGGGCAAGTTCTGTCTCAGTCTCCTTCTTCTCCAGGTGTGCCAGAGCCCAGGGAGGAGATGGGGGAACAGGCGCAGGCAGCTGAACCGGAACCAGGTATTTGCAAGTTAATCAGGTTCAGGCTGAAACAGACAAGTAAAAGGACATAAATAATGATGAAACTTGTAGAAAGTCATCAAAAATTTATCTTTTTTTTATTGCCGATCTGTTTGTACATCCTTTAATTGTCTTGTTTCTTTAGTGTTTTTATAAGAACAAATATTTATCTCAGAAACTCATTTCTTGAAAACTTAGAACAAATCCAGACGATTTGGGGCTTCAGATTGTTGATGTCTGGAAAATAATAGTTTATGTCAAGAAAAGTCTAAATTCCGTTAAAAGAATCTGTGGAGGGATGTCGGCAAAAATGACAGAGTGAAAGACATCTGGAAAAATCTATTCCATAAAAGTGAGGACACTGGCAAAAATGGTCAGAATCAACTTTCTTCAGAACTCTGAAAATTAATCAGAGGCTTGTGGCAATCTGAGAAGAGTTTATTCAAGAACAAAGGCTCAGTCTCAGAGCAGAAAGCTTTGCGATATTTTTAACTTGCTTTATCTCCGCCCCCGACTCAGCAGTAGCCTTGACAATCAACAGCCCACAAGCACAGTGAAAACCAGCAGCCTGGCAGCCACCGGAGGGGGCAGAATGGGGATGAAGCCCCTTCAAAGCCTTATTCCCAGGGAATTATCTTTATTTGGCCCATCTGATGGTGCTTGGAAGACCCCACTTGCAAAACCGTCTTTGTATAACTGGACGTACAGCTTACCCACTGCCAAGAGCCATTTCCCAGAAGCACTGGTTGAAAATATTGTAGCAGCCTACGGTGGCAAATAACAGTTGGGTCAAACATCAGGCTAGCCAAAAAGCTTAAAGGAAAAATCTGGGGAATGAGATGTCTGCAGAGAACTTTGAAAAGCTTCAGCATATTCCTGGGAATCTAGGGGGCTACATGCATGCCCCGGGCTGTCCACATGTTCAGGAAAAACCTAAGAAGGCCAAAGCTGACCTTGAGGCTCTGCACAAGCAGGAAGTGGAAACTAAGACATAGTTAGAAAGTGCTGATCTAAATGTTGAAGGATTTCCGCAGATACTCACACAGAGCTCCTCAGCAAAATCTGAGACTTACTGGTCCTAACATTTGATAAAGTTTCTGTCTGATCATTAACTGAACATGAAGCTAAATGAGCAGAGACTTCAGTAGCCACACAAGACAAAGTATACAGAATTAAACTACAGGATTAGTTCAGAAAAGTCAGTAAGCAAACCAGCAGCAACAAATGCTGGGAGGGGAGAGAATGATTTCCAGAGTTACTGCATATTTTTTAATGTCCAATTTTCAACAATAACAAAAATTATGAAACACACAAAGAAACAAGAATGTATGGCCATACTCAGTGGGAAAAAGCAGTCAATAGAGACTGTCCCTGAGGAAGCCCAGACACTGGGCTTACTAAACAAAGAGTTTAATTAGCTATTTTAAGTGTGTTCAAAGAACTCAAGAGAATCACGTCTAAAGAACTAGAGAAAAGTATGAGAAGGATGTCTCATCAAATAAAGAGATAGAAAATAGTTTAAAAGAACCAAATAGAAACTCTGGAGTTAAAAAGTACAATGCTGAAGTGGAAAAAATTCACTGGAGGGGTTCAATAGCATATGTGAGCTGGCAGAAGAAGCAATCAATGAATTTTAAGATGGGTCAATTGAGATTATCCAAATTTGAGGAAAAGGAAAAAAAAAAGAATGAAGGAAAATGAACAGCACCTAAGAGACCTGTGGACACCATCAAGAATACCAAGATATGCATAAAGAGAGTCCCAGAAGAGGAGAGGAAGGGATAGAAAAAATACTTGAAGACATAATGACTGAAAACTTCCCAAATTTGATGAAAAACAGTAATTTACAGATCCAAGAAACTGAATTAAAAAAAAACAACTCCAAGTAGGATGAGCTAAAAAAGATTAATGCGTGGATTGTAATCTGCTGAAAGCCATAGACAGAGCGAGAGTCTTGGAAGCGGCGGAGAAGTGATGCCGCTTGTGCAGAGGAGCCCCGATAACGCCGACAGCTGACTTCTCATCAGAAACCACGGAAACCTGAAGGCGGTGGGATGGCCCATTCAACATACTGAAAAAAGACTGTCCAGTAAAACTATTCTTCAAAAATGAAAGAGAAAGTAAGATACTCTCAGATAAGCAAAAACCAGAAATACTTTAGTATTCAAGCTTAAACGGAAGGACTTTAGACAGTAACACGAATCCACATGGAGAAGTAAAGGGCACTGGAAAAAGATAATTACATAATAAATATAAAACACAATATAGCTGTATTTT